TTGGTCACCGTGAGGGTCCAGGCGGCGTGGTCGCGGAAGGTGTGCGTGAGCTCGGCCTCCGCCCGGGCCTCCATGTCCTGGGCCTCGTCCTCCACCTGCAGCTGCCGCAGCAGGTTGGCGCGCTTGGCCGACAGCTTGGACGAGTGCGTCATCTTCTCGTGCACACGCAAGTGCTTCTTCCGCTCCCGCTCCTGCCGCGGCGGGCCGGGCCTCAGCCTCCACCGCCCGGCCTCCAGCGGGCCTCCCGCCTCGGCCTCCCTCCCGGGGAGCTGGGACTACAGGCATGCGCCTCCACGCCCGGCTCGTTTTTTCTCTATATATTTTTAGTTGTTCAATTAATTTCTTTCTATTTTTAGTAGAGACGGGGTCTCGCTCTTGCTCAGGCCGGCCTCCAACTCCTGACCTCGAGTGAGCCTCCCACCTCGGCCTCCATCGTGCCTGGCTAATTTTTTCTACTTTTAGTTGCTTGGCTAATCTCTTTTTTTTTTTTTTTGAGACAGAGTCTCGCTCTGTCGCCCGGGCTGGAGTGAGTGCCGTGGCGTCAGCCTCGCTCACAGCAGCCTCCAACTCCTGGCCTCCAGCGAGCCTCCCGCCTCGGCCTCCCTCCCGAGTAGCTGGGACTACAGGCATGCGCCACCACGCCCGGCTCATTTTTTTTTTATATATGGACAAGTAAAAAAATATATATATAAAAAAAATGAGCCGGGCATGGAGGCGCATGCCTGGAGTCCCAGCTACTCGGGAGGGAGGCCGAGGCGGGAGGATCGCTTGAGGCCAGGAGTTGGAGGCCGCCGTGAGCGAGGCTGACGCCACGGCGCTCACTCCAGCCCGGGCGACAGAGTCGGGCCTTTTGTTCCCAGCCTTCAGCCTGTTCCTTGGAGTAGAGGCCCAGGACCATTTCGCAGATGGATATTCTGAGGCTCAGGGAGGCCAAAGACCCCAGCCTCGGACTCCTGCCCGGGCCTCCCCTTTAGGGCTGGGATTGGGGGACCCCAAAGACGCCCCCCGTCAGGACCTCAGGAAGCTCCCGCTGCCCCTCCACGGTGACAAGCGACGTTTCCGACAGGCCTGGTACAACCGAGGCCAGGGGGGCTGGCTCAGGACGGGGGCCCCACTTGGGCCCCGAGGGACTGGCGGGTCCCCTTCCCGGCGCCGCCCCTGGGGCCCCGCTCTGTGTTTGGTTTCTGAGGCAGAGTCTCGCTCTGTCGCCCGGGCTGGAGTGAGCGCCGTGGCGTCAGCCTCGCTCACAGCAGCCTCCAACTCCTGGCCTCCAGCGAGCCTCCCGCCTCGGCCTCCCTCCCGAGTAGCTGGGACTACAGGCATGCGCCTCCACGCCCGGCTCGTTTTTTTTATCTATATATTTTTAGTCGTCCAGCCCATTTCTTTCTATTTTTAGTAGAGACGGGGCCTCGCCCTTGCTAATCAGGCTGGCCTCCACCTCCTGACCTCCATAGCGATCCTCCCGCCTCGGCCTCCCAGCTTTCTACAATGACAGCCCTGAGCCTCCACGCCCAGCCTCTACCCAGGCTCTGAGGGCCGTCTGCCCGGCCCCTGCCCACCAGACATCCCTCCGTTTCGTGGGGGTGGGGGGGTCTCTGCTGTCACTCCCTGGAAGAGGGACAGGTGACACTCAGGTGACACCACGTGACAGCCGTGCTTGGCTCCTGCAGGGGACGTGTCCCCCCTCGGTCAAGCGACCGCGTCTCCGCCAGTGGACGAGCGGCGTGCAGGCCGGAGCTGCAGCAGCCACGCTGTGCCCAGGAGGCGGCCGCCTTGGCCGCGGAAATTGAGTCCCCAGAGAGTGACAAGGAAGGCGGGGGTGGCGGCCTTAGCAACCGGCAAGGCCCCGGCAACGGGGCCGAGGGACCGAGGAGGGGGACGGGGGACGGAAACGGGGAGCCGGGCGGGGCTTCGGGCTGACATCCCGGGAGGCAGGGAGCCACGGGCGGCTCCATCGGGAGAGCAGCGAACAGAGGAGGCCGCCTTCCCGAGGGGCGGGCAGGGGTCACGTGACAGACAGCAGGGGAAACTGAGGCAGGGGCGCCGCCGGGAGGGCCCGCATCTGTGTCCCGGCCGCGCTCACCGCGAGAGCCTTGCTCCGCTCCTGCTTCCTGAGCAGGAAGAAGTCCTCGTCCGCCGACAGGTGGAACGGGTTCTTCTCGGAGTCAGGAGACGAGCAGGAGTCTGGAATCGGAGGCGGGGGGACACACGCAGCCTCAGCCCCGTGACCTCCCCCCGGCCTCGGCCTCTACTCCCGGGCGCGGTTTCGATTTTCTAAAATCCGGGAAGGATTTTGCTCCCTTTCCTCCCGCCCGGGACGAGCGGCGTTCAGGCCGGGGCCGCGGCAGCCACTCTGTGCCCAAGAGGCAACTTTGTTTTTTTTTTTTTTTTTTTTGCCGTGGGAAGCCCAGACGGCTTTCTGGTGAGAAGGGAGAGACTTGGGGACTGGTCACCCGGATGGGGTCACCGAGTGGCTGTTTGTGGAGCCACCTGGGACACCGCCCCCCCGGGACACCCGGTCCGGCCTCCCACGATTTGCACGAACGGAGGGAAAAAAATGAATCCTTCATGGTTTTACGGCTCGTTGAGTGCTGGCCTTCGAAATTCAGTGCCTAACGGGCAAGAGAAACTTGTCCCCGTGCCCCGAGGACTAGAGACGGGGGCTGGGGACACGCAGGACGAAAAGGGACGCGGTTTGTCCCCAGCCGGGTCGCCCCGGAGTTTACCTTTTTGTCCTGGTTTCTCTTCAGTGATGGAAGAAAAACTGTTCGTCATCTCCGGGCTGTGTTCTGGGGCGACAGGAAGCGGGGACAGGGCTGAGGGGACCCAGGGATGACGCGTCCGGCTGGGCAGTCTCCAGACCACCCCCACACACACACACACACGAACACCCGGGGCCTCTGGCCTCAGTTTCCCCATCTGCCCGCTGAGCTTGGCTTCCCTGAGCCTCAGTTTCCCCATCTGAGTTGGCTGGGAGGGTAGCAGGGCAGTTCTAGAAGACGGCCTCAACCCGTGGCTACCCGGCCGGGCGCAGAGGCTCAGGCCTGTTGTCCCGGCGCTCGGGAGGCCGAGGAGGGAGGATCGCTCGAGGTCAGGAGTTGGAGGCCAGCCTGAGCAAGAGCGAGACCCCGTCTCTACTAAAAATAGAAATTAATCGGACAAGTAAAAAAATATATATATAAAAAAAATGAGCCGGGCATGGAGGCGCATGCCTGGAGTCCCAGCTACTCGGGAGGGAGGCCGAGGCGGGAGGATCGCTTGAGGCCAGGAGTTGGAGGCCGCCGTGAGCGAGGCCGACGCCACGGCGCTCCAGCCCGGGCGACAGAGTCGGGCCTTTTGTTCCCAGCCTTCAGCCTGTTCCTTGGAGTAGAGGCCCAGGACCATTTCGCAGATGGATATTCTGAGGCTCAGGGAGGCCAAAGACCCCAGCCTCGGACTCCTGCCCGGGCCTCCCCTTTAAGGCTGGGATTGGGGGACCCCAAAGACGCCCCCCGTCAGGACCTCAGGAAGCTCCCGCTGCCCCTCCACGGTGACAAGCGACGTTCCCGACAGGCCTGGTACAACCGAGGCCAGGAGGGCTGGCTCAGAACGGGGGCCCCACTTGGGCCCCGAGGGACTGGCGGGTCCCCTTCCCGGCGCCGCCCCTGGGGCCCCGCTCTGTGTTTGGTTTCTGAGGCAGAGTCTCGCTCTGTCGCCCGGGCCGGAGTGAGCGCCGCGGTGTCAGCCTCGCTCACAGCAGCCTCCACCTCCTGGCCTCAAGCGAGCCTCCCGCCTCGGCCTCCCTCCCGAGTAGCTGGGACTACAGGCATGCGCCACCACGCCCGGCTCATTTTTTTCTATATATTTTTAGTTATCCAGCTTATTTCTATTTTTTTTTTTAAATAGAAACAGGTCTCGCTCTTGCCCAGGCTGGCCTCGACCTCCTGACCTCGAGCGATCCTCCAGCCTCGGCCTCCCAGAGTGCTGCAATGACAGGCGTGAGCCTCCGCGCCCAGCCTTGGGAGGCCGGGCCGGGAGGCTGGCCGCCGCACTCACTGTCGTAGGGGATGTTCTTGAGGATCTTGGCGGACAGCGTCCTGGAGATCATGTTTGCCGCGAAGCCTGAGCTCGGCGAGAGGAATCCGGCACCTGGGAGAGAGACAGAGGCAGGAGCGTGGCTCGTCCCCGGGCCTGGACACCCCGCGGTCCCCCGGGTGGCGGCCGACGGCCAGCTCCCACCCGGGGGTCCCCGTGTGGGCCACACCTGCCTGTCCCCAGCTCCCCGAACCCGCCATCCCGGCCTCCGTTCCGGCTGCCTCGTCTGCGCGCTCTAAGCACCAGCGGCCCCAGGGCCTTTGCGTGTGCCCAGACTGGCCGAGTGAAAATACAGAGAGAAAAAACGAGCCGGGCGCGGTGGCGCATGCCTGTTGTCCCAGCTACTCGGGAGGGAGGCCGAGGAGGGAGGATCGCTGGAGGTCAGGAGTTGGAGGCCAGCCTGAGCAAGAGCGAGACCCTGGTCTCTACTAAAAATAGAAAGAAATTAATTGGCCAAATAAAAATATATTTAAATAAAAAACGAGCCGGGCGTGGAGGCGCACGCCTGTCTTCCCAGCTACTCAGGAGGGAGGCCGAGGCGGGAGGCTCGCTGGAGGCCAGGAGTCGGAGGCTGCTGTGAGCGAGGCTGGCGCCACGGCACTCACTCCAGCCCGGGCGACAGAGCGAGACTCTGTCTCAAAAAAAAAATAATAATAAAAATAACACAGGAGGTCACAGGTCACCCTTCTGTCCCGGCCACACCCGACTCTCTTCCTCCTGACCCCAGGGGCCGCCCGGAACTTTCTTTCCCGCCGTTGTCGCCTGCGATTGTCGCTCTCGCCACCAATGAGTTCACTCCCTGCTGGAATGCGAGCCTCACCGCAGCGGCCTTGTCCTTTCCTTCTTTTCTGAGACGGAGTCCAACTCCTGGCCTCTAAGCGAGCCTCCCGCCTCGGCCTCCCTCCCGAGTAGCTGGGACCACAGGCATGCGCCTCCACGCCCGGCTCGTTTTTTTTCTATATATTTTTAGTCGTCCAGCTCATTTCTATTTTTAGTAGAGACGGGGACTCGCTCTTGCTCAGGCTGGCCTCCAACTCCTGACCTTCAGCGATCCTCCTGCCTCGGCCTCCCTCCCGAGTAGCTGGGACGACAGGCATGCGCCACCACGCCCGGCTCAGTTTTTCTATATATTTTTTTTAGTTGGCCAATTAATTTCTTTCTATTTTACTTTTTTAGTAGAGACGGGGTCTGGCTCTTGCTCAGGATGGCCTGCAACTGCTGGCCTCGAGCGAGCCTCCTGCCTCGGCCTCCCTACTGAGTAGCTGGGACTACAGGCATGCGCCACCTCGCCCGGCTCATTTTTTCTATATATTTTTCGTTGACCAATTAATTTCTTTCTATTTTTTTTTTTTTTTTTTAGTAGAGACGGGGTCTCGCTCTTGCTCAGGCTGGCCTCCAACTCCTGATCTGAGACATCCTCCTGCCTCGGCCTCCCTCCCGAGTAGCTGGGACTACAGGCATGCGCCACCACGCCCGGCTCATTTTTTTCTAGATATTTTTAGTTATCCAGCTTATTTCTATTTTTTTTTTTAAATAGAAACAGGTCTCGCTCTTGCCCAGGCTGGCCTCGACCTCCTGACCTCGAGCGATCCTCCAGCCTCGGCCTCTCAGAGTGCTGGGATTACAAGGCATGAGCCATCTCATCTCACTGGACTAATTTTTACACAAATTTTTAGTGGGCCAATTAATTTCTATTTTTAGTAGAAGACAGGGTCTGGCGCTTGGTCATTCTGGCCTCAAACTCCTGACCTCCAGCGATCCTCCCTTCCGGGCCTCCCAGAGTGCTGCAATGACAGGCGTGATCCACCGCGTCGGTCTCATAGGAGTGAATTTTCATCTTTGCAGGAAGGTGTGTGTGTGTGGGTAAACTGAGGCTGAGCACTGTGTGCACAGGCGGATTGAACCCCAGGGCCTTTGACTGGCCCCCAAGGCTGGCTTCTGTCCCCTGTTTGGGCCAACGGCCAGCTGGAGTGAGCCGGGGGGCCCTCCTGGGACCCCCGATTTCATGGCAGGCCACCCACTCAGCAGCCAGGGGGACAAAGACAGGTGCACAGGGACCCAGGATGGGTGGGTGGATGGGTGGATGGATGGATGGGTGGGTGGGTGGATGGGTGGGTGGATGG